GAACTCATGTGATTAGAGTTAAGACTGTTAAGTATCTCTGAATTAAGCATGGTTAGATCATAGAGGTAGTACATGTTCTTGAATGCAGACTTTGTACAGAAGTCATGTAAGTAGAGTAAAGTCTCTCTGAGTTAAGCATGGTTAGATCATGCAGAGGTAGTACATGTTCTTGAATGTGAGCTACCTTAAAGTGATCTGATGTTGCACAGAACTCATGTGATTAGAGTTAAGACTGTTAAGTATCTCTGAATTAAGCATGGTTAGATCATAGAGGTAGTACATGTTCTTGAATGCAGACTTTGTACAGAAGTCATGTAAGTAGAGTAAAGTCTCTCTGAGTTAAGCATGGTTAGATCATGCAGAGGTAGTACATGTTCTTGAATGTGAGCTACCTTAAAGTGATCTGATGTTGCACAGAACTCATGTGATTAGAGTTAAGACTGTTAAGTATCTCTGAATTAAGCATGGTTAGATCATAGAGGTAGTACATGTTCTTGAATGCAGACTTTGTACAGAAGTCATGTAAGTAGAGTAAAGTCTCTCTGAGTTAAGCATGGTTAGATCATGCAGAGGTAGTACATGTTCTTGAATGTGAGCTACCTTAAAGTGATCTGATGTTGCACAGAACTCATGTGATTAGAGTTAAGACTGTTAAGTATCTCTGAATTAAGCATGGTTAGATCATAGAGGTAGTACATGTTCTTGAATGCAGACTTTGTACAGAAGTCATGTAAGTAGAGTAAAGTCTCTCTGAGTTAAGCATGGTTAGATCATGCAGAGGTAGTACATGTTCTTGAATGTGAGCTACCTTAAAGTGATCTGATGTTGCACAGAACTCATGTGATTAGAGTTAAGACTGTTAAGTATCTCTGAATTAAGCATGGTTAGATCATAGAGGTAGTACATGTTCTTGAATGTAGACTTTGTACAGAAGTCATGTAAGTAGACTAAAGTCTCTCTGAGTTAAGCATGGTTAGATCATGCAGAGGTAGTACAACATCTTGAATGGTCTACTAGACGCTGTTTTGACTTCATGTATTCTACATATTCAGATTTATCAAATCCAAGCTGCCACGGGTCAAGGAGGGACCCAACAAGTGTACATAGCTGCCGCAGCCCCTGACCAGACACAACAGCAGGCTCAGCAGACGCAAGCTGCTCAACCGACACAGCAAACCCAGGCGACAGACACTGAACTCTCGCAATCCGCTGACCAGCAACAATCGCAGTGATGACATCCAATGATGTACATATTATGTAAGTAGGATGCTAAGGTTGCTTCAATCTATCATACAGGATGTATAAATGTTCGCTGAACTGCAAATTCGCAAAATTTGCGAAAACTCTATGCTGAACATGGTTAGTTTGGGGTCTGCTAGTATATCTCTACCACTAAAATTATTTCGAAAAATAAGTTTTCCAATGCAGAAGGGTTGTCGCGCAAAAATGGAAGGCTTTAAAAGCAAAAATGGAAGGCTTTAAAACGTAATTTAAATTTATAGGGTGCAAATTTAGAAGAATCAGACAATTTGATGTACAAGATGTCTAAAAAACCGCTATGGAAATTCAACAGGCTGTCTTGCATCATAAACTTATCTAAACAATTCAATTTTTACATAGGACGAAAGAACTGTTATTTAGCTTTTCTTTAAATCGTAACGATGAGAAAATTGGCTACATACTCGTCAAATAAAAATTGCCGGTCGAATTGCATTCTTCCACCGTTGGGAATTGAAAATACATATTAATTATGCAAAGTAAATCAATCCAAAAGCAACGCGAGTCTGCTGCAAGCTATTGGTTTCGTTTCGTTTTCCATGCAATTCCCAACGGTGGAAGAATGTGATTTCGACCGGTAATTTTTATTTGGCAAGTATGTGGCCATTACTCATCGTTACGATTTAAAAAGAGTATCATTGAGAAGCTAAATAACTGTTCTTTCGTCCTATGTAAAAATTGAATTGTTTAGCCACGTTTATGATGCACGACAGCCTGTTGAATTTCCATAGCGTTTTTTGAGACAATCCTGTACATATTAAGTCCAACACGCGACCTCCAAAACGTAGACTTTTTTGTCATAATAGTCTTTCACCCATAATTTATCACACGCATTATACATGGTTGATTTCTTACAAACTCTTTACAAAAAGTTTAAAAATTATGCGTCAAAGGCTACTGTGGCAAAAAATTACATCGAATTGTCATCAAATTACGAGATCATTTTAAAAGTGTTCTTCAAAGTAAGATAGTAGAAAAATTGAGATTAGTGGCGCTTTAAATAATAAGCATTAACGGCACTGTACAGAAGTGTACTGAAAATAAATGTACTTTTATTGAATAATGCTTTCCCAAGTTTTGAAATGACATTTAAATGAAGTTCGTCAATTACTAAACAAAATTTGCCACCATAGCCATGCGAGTTAGCGCCAAAGTTGTCAATTGGGTGAAATAGAGAAACTAATTCGTGGTGTTCCATTCTATATGCTTACATCGTCAGAACTGTGGTAACTAGGCATGTGAGTTATCAATTCACTCACATATATAATTGAAAAACTTGGTTACCTTTGTGCCATTCTATGCTTACATCATCAGAACAGTGGTAACTAGGCATGTGAGTTATCAATTCACTCGCATATATAATTGAAAAACTTGGTTACCTTTGTTCCATTCTATGCTTATACATTATCAGAACAGTGGTAACTAGGCATGTGAGTTATCAATTCACTCACATATATAGAAATACTTGGTTACCTTGTTCCATTCTATGCTTACATTATCAGAACAGTGGCAACTAGGCATGTGAGTTATCAATTCACTCACATATATAATTGAAAAACTTGGTTACCTTTGTTCCATTCTATGCTTATATTATCAGAACAGTGGTAACTAGGCATGTGAGTTATCAATTCACGCACATATATAATTGAAATACTTGGTTACCTTTGTTCCATTCTATGCTTACATTATCAGAACAGCGGTAACTATAGGCATGCGCATTAGGGGGCGGTCATTATTTATGGCGGGGGGTGGCACCGAAGAGAAAAGGGTTGGGTAAACAAAATTTTGAGTGAGTAAAAGGTTGGGTAAATGAAAAACAAAACAACTCAAGGGTTGGGTAATAAAAATTCATTATTTCCAAAGCATTACTCCCTCAAATATTGAAGACTAAAAAGCAATGTCAACAGTCATATGTCAATACAATATGTGAATCAATCCGAGTCACTATCTTGATCATTTTCCGATTTGTCAGGAGGCAAACGGTGTCTCCAAAGAAAGTACATGTGCAGACAACATGAAACTTTAGACTGCAGAAAATTGCACAAGCAGTTATCAAACTCATGTCACAGAAGTGGTAAAGGACATGTGTGACAACTGAATGGTATCCTTTTGTAAAGTTTTTGGCCAGGGGTGGGTATTTATTTTTTAATTCATATTTGAGGTTGGATAAAAATTTTTGTTGACTTTTTAATGGTTGGATCAGAAAAATTTTTACCAAGAAAAACATTCCTCTTCGTCATGCCAATCCCCTGCCATAAATAATGACCACTCCCTTTTCTGAAAATGTGAATTGTCTAGGAACACAGGCATGCATATGCACAAACATACGTTTTCGAGATTAAGTTTAAGTCTACATATCAAATATAACAAAACAAGTACGTATAAAATTCAAATTCAATGCAACGATTAATCATATTGACAACCCAAAGCACATTAGCTGTCGAAATATTTTATGGCACGCGTGCAAAATGCAAATTACACGTGCGAGATATGAATTATTTGCCGGTTCATCGTGTAGCCGTATAGCTGTCCAT